TTTTAAAAATGTGGGAGAAAACTAGTTACTGAAAATGGTTATGAATCTGTCAAGTATAAACTTAAGTGAAGTTAGAGGTAGATGCTTGTTATTGTGTTGAATTAGTTTTTTGTTTCGTGGCTTGAAAGTGAAGATTTGCACGGCTGCACTTGGTTGGTGGACAAAGACACAACTATGATTTTTTGAAACAATTTGGTGTTAAACATTTTGTTAGCTCTTGGATTGTTGAAATTAGTCTGTGAAGTGCAGTTAATTAATGAATTAGTGCAGGTGTTAATTTCATTAACAATTAGTTGTTGAATTGGTTAATTGGCAGTTAGTGACTTTGTGTAGTTAGAATAGATGACAATTATTATTGATGTTAATGAATTGGACTGTTAGGAAATATTATATTAACAGAGTGTTAAATGTTAGTTAATATTATATTAACAGAGGTTGGCCTAACATTTAAAAATAACATTTAGAACTATCTAGCAATTTTATAATTAGTTAATATTGTTCAATCTCTAATGTTAGTTCTAAATGTTACTTCAATCTAACAGAGTTTGTTCAATCTAACAGAGTGATAGTTCTAAATGTTAGTTAAGAGTGTTAAATGTTACTTCAATCTAACAGAGTGTTAGTTCTAAATGTTAGTTAATATCTAGCAATATTATAGTTAAGAGTTGTTGAACATTGAAATGTTAGTTTAAATGTTAGAATTAGAGATGTTAGTTAACTGTTATGCTAATTGAATGTTAATAGCATTTGAAAAAATAATTATGGTTAGCTAACTGTTAGCATTTTGTTAGGATTGTTAGAGGTTAGTAACTTTTGAGACCTAAGAGCTAAAGTACAAACATAACTGACTTCACTTATGTTGGTATTATATAAATTTGGCACCTGCATTGGTGGCGTAACTTTTGAGACCTAAAAGCTAAAGTAGAATAAATACAGGTAAAAGGCTAAACTGAAAGCAAAGATAAGTTTAAACTTCAAAGCACACAGAGGAGATATACAATATAACCCGTGAATAAAAGCCTAAAATTCAACAAAATGTTTTATTTTCCTTAAATTCTACTGCTATGTCCCTACCTTTCACCATTAATCTTATGAATGTTAAAGTAAACCGTAGACCTTATATTAGAAGAAAAAAGTTGAAGAAGGGTTGTGAAAAAAAAATCACATTATCTGCTATATCTCAGAATGCATAACAGTTATGTCAATCAATATTAAAAAGAATATACAATATTACCTTTAATCTTATGAATAGTGATATTAATTTTTTAGTTATATAATATGTTAATACTGTGTTTGTTGATAGTTAAATTATTTTATGTGTTAATATTGTGTTAGTTTGTTAATAATAATGTATCCTTATGTGTTTATACATTTTATTTGTTTATAAATTTATTGATGGATGTTTAAAATATTGTAATTAAATTAGACTAAAGGTATGGACAAAGCATGGACTAAACTCCCAAGACACTGGAAGAAGTATAAAAAAGGTGTTAAGTCTTTTTTAGATTTTGCCTATACCACAGGAAGACCTCAAGGACGTGAAATTTCTTGTCCTTGTGCTCATTGTGCAAATTGTAAATGGGAAAGAAGACATGTGGTCCGCGATCATTTAATAGCTGTAGGTTTTGTGAAAGGATATGATGTTTGGGTAAACCATGGAGAGGATATACCATCGCCTATGAAAATTAAGGAGGACACAAAGGAGCAAGAGAACTCACTTGATGACATTGGTGGTTTATTGTATGACATATTTAGAAATGTGGTTGAAGCAGAGGAAAGTAGTGAAGCTCACAATGAGGATGCGAGAAAGTTCTACAAGTTGATTAATGAGGCAAAACAAGAGTTATATCCCGGATGTGAAAGCTTCTCTACTCTATCGTTCATAATTCGACTTTACTTGTTGAAGTGTCTGCATGGATGGAGCAATGCATCTTTCACTTCCCTTTTAGAATTATTGAAAGAAGCGATTCCTGAATTAAACATTCCTGAATCTTTTAACAAAACAAAGGAGATGATTAGTGATTTGGGTCTCGATTACAAAAAAATTCATGCATGTCCGAATGATTGCATGTTATATTGGAAAGAACACGAGAATGATAACTCTTGCAATATTTGTAAGGCTTCACGATGGAAGGAGTTTCCTCAAGTAGAGAGTGAGTCTTCTGAGCATGCGAAATATGATCATAAACTCCCTGCTAAGGTTTTGAGACATTTTCCATTGATTCCACGATTTCAAAGGTTATTTATGTGTTCAAAGACAGCAAAGGAAATGAGGTGGCATGAAGAAGAACGCTCAAAAGATGGAAAATTAAGGCATCCTGCGGATGGACAAGCATGGAGGGATTTTGATAGACTTCATCATGACTTTGCTTCTGAGCCTCGTAACATAAGACTTGGCTTATCAAGTGACGGCTTCAATCCGTTCCGGACCATGAGCTTATCACACAGTACATGGCCTATCATGATGGTAGTATACAACTATCCTCCTTGGTTGTCCATGAAATCTGAATATACAATGTTGTCATTGTTGATTCCTGGGCCACAATCACCGGGGAATGACATTGATGTGTACCTTCAACCATTAATTGAGGAGTTAAAGGAGTTATGGGAATTAGGAGTAGACACATATGATGCCTCAAAAAATCAAACATTTAAAATTCGTGCAGCACTCCTATGGACAATTAGTGATTATCCTGGGTATGATATGTTATCAGGTTGGAGCACGAAAGGAAAGTTTGCATGTGCGTGTTGCAATCATAACACTGAATCATCATATTTAAAAAATAGCCACAAGATGTGCTACATGGGTCATCGTGTCTTTTTACCAATGAGCCATGCTTGGAGGTTAAATAAAAGGTCCTTTAATGGAAAGAAAGAACTTAGGTCTGCCCCTTCTTTGTTAAAAGGGACAGATATTTTGGAAACCCTGAAAGATTTTCAGAATGAGTTTGGTAAAACAAAAAAGAAGAAAAAAGATGGTCCATGGAAGAAAAAATCAATATTTTTTGAGTTACCTTATTGGGCTGAAAATACATTACGTCATAATCTTGATGTGATGCACATTGAAAAAAATATATTTGATAATATTATTGGAACTCTTTTAGACATACCAGGGAAGACAAAAGATCACGTTAATGCTCGTTATGATTTGAAAGACATGGGAATAAGAAAGAAGCTTCATCCAAAAGAGATTGGTGGAGGTCGTGCAGAGATTGCAAAATCTTGTTTTTCAATGAGTGCACGTGAGAAGACTATTTTTTGTGGTGTTTTAAAGGCTGCCAAATTACCAGATGGGACTGCATCAAACATTTCAAAGTGTGTGCAAGTTAGTAATAAGAAAGTGTTTGGCTACAAGAGTCATGACGCACATTTCATGTTACATTACTTATTACAAGTAGCAGTAAGAGGCACCATGCCCAATGCAGTGGCTGAACCTCTAATTCGCTTAGGGTCATTTTTCCGCTCTTTGTGTAAAAAAGTTATCCGAGAGCAAGATTTGAATTTCTTAGAAGCTGAGATTGCAGATATCCTCTGTCAACTGGAGATGATTTTTCCTCCAAGTTTTTTTGATATAATGGTTCACTTGCCTATTCATTTGGTAAATGAAGTTAGATTGGGCGGTCCAGTTCAATTTCGTTGGATGTATCCCACTGAAAGAAACTTATGCAAACTTAAAAGTTATGTTCGTAATAGAGCTCATCCTGAAGGATCTATTGCTGAGGCATATTTGGCTGAAGAAGCTTTGACTTTTTGCTCAAGATACTTGCATGACAATGTAGACACAAGGTTAAATAGAAAGAGTCGAAATTATGACAATAGTGACTTGTGTAATGTGGATTTAAGCGATTACTTTTCATGTATTGGTCGTTCCTTATGTGGGAAGAAAAATGGTAAACCATTTTTTCTAGATTCAACTGCAAAATCCCAAGCCCACTGATACCTTTTGTTCAATTGTGATGAAGTTAACGCATTCATCAGGTACCATAATATATTAAGTTCATTTATAAAACACACACACACACACACACATTAGTGTTATTTTATAATAGATGATAAATTATATTTATAGGGAGCATGATGATATTGTCAATAGTCAAACTAAAGGACGGAGGTGGGTCAAGGCCAAAACCCAAAGTCACGATTTTAGTGAATGGTTTAAAACTCGAGCCTTGAAAGATGATGTATCAATTCAACTGAAATATTTCTCTAGAGGTCCATGTGATACAGCAAAGAGGTTTTCAGGCTACCTCATCAATGGATATAGATTCTATACTATGAAACGAGATGCAAGACGCAAAACTCAAAATTCAGGTGTAACTTTGGTTTCATTGACTCCAAGTTTTGCAAGCTCTAAGGATGAAAATCCTAGGATGAAAGTTGTAACTTATTATGGAGCAATTAGAGATATAATTGAGTTAGACTATTACTCTCAATTCAAATTTGTGTTGTTTGAATGTGATTGGTTTGAGGTAGAAGAAGACAAATATGGGCTTACTTGTGTATATTTCAACAAAAAATGTTACCAAAATGATCCTTTTGTTATACCATCTCAAGTGCATCAATGTTTCTATATCCAAGATCCACTTGATGAAAGTAGGCAGTATGTCATGAAAACAGATCCTAGAGATTTATATAGTATGGGTAACCTATCAGATTCAATGGTCCAAGAATCTTATCAAAGTGATCCTTTTGATGGTGAACTTAATTGGGTTAGAGAAGATATACCTGGAATAATTGTTGATAAGCCTCCATCTTTTATGGAAGAAGCAAGATATGAAGATGATTCTGATTTTGACAATACTTTGTTGGTAGAGTGATGGGGTCTAAGTCATTCATTTTATAGACATTAAAAACGAATGGTGGGAATGTCCAATGAACTTAATATTTTATGTTCAACAACTTACTATTTTTTATGTTTAAATATTTTATAGGACAAATGAACTTAATATTTTATGTTCAACAACTTACTATTTTTTATGTTTAAATATTTTATAGGACAAATGAACAAGGAAGAAAACAAGAAAAATATGAAGTGTCATGTGAAAGGTCAGAGGGGTGCTTCCAGTGTTGAGCTACCACTGGTCAAATCAAGTTTTGAATTGGCAAGAAATTTCAGCATCAAACTGGAGGAAAGAAAGACCAAACATGAAAAAATATGTGCACCTATAACAGAAGTTGAAGCTCTTAGGAACAAAAAAGACCAGCCATTAACTACTCCACAATTCAAGTTATCTATGTTTGCAACAACTTCCAACAAAGAGCCTGAGCCAAAGAAAAATGTTTCAGATAATACAAGTAGGACTAAACTACCTAACACTCATGCTGAAAAAAGTATAGAGAGGGAAGTATCTTTAAAAACAAACAAAGGATTGAAGATTCAAGATCCAAAAGATCAATCTTTGATTTCTAAAAGGAATCAACCTTTAGTTTCTAAAATCCAAAATTCAAAAGGACAGTCTTTGTCTTAAGTTAGAAGATCTACGCCTATGCATATTCAGGTTCCAAATAGGCAATCCATGAAAAAGACGGTAATTGGAGATGGACCGTTGGAAAGACAACAAATTGCAGAAAATAAATCTCTTAAAAATGACATTTCAAGGTCAAATGAACAATCTAAGAGAATAGTTGTTGAAGATGAGTCAAGGGAAAAACATGAAAGTAACAGGAAGAATCAACAAAAAAAAATGTTTGGAAATGACATTTCAAGGGCAAAAGATCAACAGAAGAAAATGGTAGTGGCTGAAGAAGAATCAATGGCAAGGCAACAAAGTGCTTGCAAGAAGACAAAAAGAAGTCCTTTGTGCCAATCAATGTTAATTGGTGACTTTCTTGAAAAAATGGAAGAGATGTTGAGAAGGAGATGGAAAATTTAATTGAAGATGAGGAAAACATTGTTTTAGAAGAACAAGAACAAGAAGAAAATGTGGAATGTGAGGGAGACGCGGAAAAAAATGGTGATGTTTCATTTTATTTAAGACCAAGAAAATAGTTTATTATTAATTTATTTTATTACTCATATGTGTGTGTATTTGATAATTTATCTTGCATTATATTGTTTGATGTCAAAACAGGGACAACTAAGAAAAGAACACGGGGACCGACGCGTTGTTTAAAAATATATGCAAGAGATGTAAAAGACCGTCAAGAAGTTACTCTAGATGAATTTGGAGAGCCAATTGGACCTGATGACCAAACTGTTTCTGACTTAGGCTATTTCCTCGGAACTATAGCAAGGAATGCAAATTTTTGTCCATTGATCTATACAAATTTCAAAGAGTTGCTTAAAGATAAAACAGGTCCTAAGCGTCATAATTGTCATATTTGGAAATATATTAATGTATGAGAAGTAAAATTTCATAATTTTTTAATGATCAAGTATCTATAATTGATGACAAACATTGTTTTATTCTTGCAGACGAAGTTCAACATTCCTGAGAGAGGAAAAAAAGCAGTGTATGCTCGAATAAACGATGCTTGGAGACGCCACAAATACTCTATCAAGAAAGATCATTTTTTAAAGTACTCTAATATGAAGGATAGATTAAAACACCGTCCAAAGAGCATATCTGAAGTTCATTTCAAGAAATTGTTAGTATATTGGAAAGATACTCATATTCAAGTAAGTTATTTATTTTGCTTGTGATTCTCATGATTCTTATGGGAACAAAATATTGTGTTTCCAAATGTTTATCTCTGTTGTCATAAATTTAGTACATGCACTTTTGTGTTGGATTTTGGTTTTCAAATCTGGATGTTACTATGGTTTTCAAATCAGGATGTTTCAAATCTGGATTTTACTACATGCTCTTCAAATCTGGATTTTACTACATAACTTTAACACCATGAACTATTTGACCTGTTGATGAAGCTAATGTCTTATCATGAAAAAATTATAGATACTTATTTTACCCACTGTTGCGTGATTCTATAAAATTATTACTAATGCGTGATTCTATAGTATCTAATAATTATTACTGATGGGTAGTTTCTAAAATACTTATTTGGAGTTAATAGGTAAAAATAAGTATTTGATTATTAATGCGTAATTTCTAAAATACTAATGTGTAATTTCTATAGTATCTAATAGTTACTAAAATAAGTATAATTATTAAGAAATAGTATCTAAAAATTATTTGATTTTATCTTTTCATCCCCTTGTGCTAGTAATTTCTATAAGTTGTTTGTCCTTTTTGGCTAACAACCCAATTTTTGTTTTATTTTTTATTATAGGATATTAGCCAAAAGAATGCAGTTAATAGGAGCAAGCAAAAGTTTATGCATCGTGTAGGACCGACAAATTTTGCTAGAATTCGTGCAAAAATGGTATGGTATTTGTGCGTGATTATCAATAGAATAATGTGTTTTTTCAATCTCTTATTAACTAATATTTTGTATTTTTAATATATGAATAATAATGTAGCGGGAAAACAAGGATGGACAAGAAGTCACTCAAGCTGAGATGTTTATTGAAACTCGAAAAAGTCGCAAGGGAAAACAAGTGGATGAGGAAACCCAATTTGTGATTGTAAGTTAAATTATATCCATTTTAATTGCCCATGTAGTTTTTAATTTTGTTCAAAATTGATAGTTTGATATATTAGGATAAACTTCAAGAATCTATTGAAACTTCAACTGAAGCTGGAACACAAACATTTCAATCATTGCTTGGAAAAGAAAAACCTGGTAGAGTGAGATGTTATGGAAGAACTGTTACACCATCATTGTTGAAAAAAATGAAGAAATTTCTTTAATAAAAATGCAATATGATGGTAAAATTTCTGACATGACACAAAAGATGGGAGCAATGGAGGTACTTTTGAAAAGCATGTATATGCAACAAAATCCACATTTAAGTGAAGAGGAAGTAAACGATAAGATGAGAGAAGCCTTGCACAATGATAATATTCCAACACCGCGCTCATCGACATCAACCTATGCTCCTGCTCATCAAAAGGTACGTACTACAATTGATATTAATTAAGATTGGCATTTATTTTACTAAGTGTTGAGTTGGTATTTCTTTAGTATACTAATTTATGTTGCTTATATATCGAGTTCTCCCCTAGGATTAGTTAGTATTTTCTTACCAAATTTTGCTACTAATATGATGGAAGAAATGTTTAAATTTGACTATTCTTCATATTTACAGGTTAGAAATGAAGATGATCCTCAAGATGAACAAGATGGCGTTCTCCAAGATGACGACGATCTTCAAGATGATGATGATCTTCATTATGATCTTGATGATGATCTCCAATATGATCAAGATGACGATCTTCAATATGATCAAGTTGACGGTTCTCAAGATGATGATTCTCATGATTCTCAGTACAATGAATATGATGAAGACCTTCACTGATTCAAATATAGACAATTATTTTTTGTTTTGTGGAGTTACACAAACCACCTAATTAGTTTATTATATTTCAAAGAGTTTGGATTTTTTTTGAAAATATTTGTTCTTACATTTCAAAGTGTTTATTACACTTCATCTTATTAATACTTCATATTTATATGTTTTGATTAATTTATACATGTGTTTCTTCTCATTTAATTAATAATATTGACTTATAATATATTAGAATAAAATGAAGGTTTATGGTTGAAATGTATCATCATATAAATGAATAGAAATTTTTTTAATAATTATATATTTAAGTTTAAAGTTAATATTTACCAAATATTTTTCAATTTATAGGCAACGCTTTTTAAGGGTTGCTTATTAAAAACCGTGGACTTTTCCTAAGTTTTAGGCGCGGTTCTTTAAATGAAATTATAAACTAGCTACAGTTTTCTATTGTTGTTTTTTTATAACCGTTGTATATTCATGTTTTAGGGACGGTTATTTTGTGTTGTTACTAGAAAACCGCGGCCTAAAACTACAACTAAAACCGTGGAATTTGATGATTTAGGGGACGGTGTTTTGAATCCGTGGTTATAAATAAAAAAACCGCGCTCTAAAGGAATAGGCAACGGCCGTTTATTCCACGTCTGATAAACCGCCCCCTAAAGCCATAGGCTACGGTTATTGCACTTTAGGTTGCGGTTTTGAGTTGTTGCCAAAAGTCATTTTTGTTGTAGTGAGGTATCGACTACCATTACTTGAGATTATTAGTGTTACGTCAACGAAGTTGACGTTTTTCATTGGATTTTCCTATTTGGAACATGAAAGGGAGGAAATTTTCACATGGGCATTGGAGAAGATGAAAGAGTCGTTTGCTTTGAAGAAGTTGCTACCGAATGTTTTGGTGACGAATCGAAAACTGGCGTTGATGAATGCCATAGAAGTTGTGTTCCCGTCCTCAAATTATCTATTGTGTTTGTTTCATATTTTAAAAAAATGTTAATATGAAGTGTAAAGAGTATGTCGAATCTAATAGGTAAAACCATGTTATAGATCTATGGAACAACATCATGTATTCAAGTAGGGAGCTTGAGTTTATGGAACAGTTAAAGAATTTTGAGGTAGTGTGAGCTAATATTCCTTTATTTGTTCAGTATGTGCATCAAACATGGTTGACACCCTATAAAGAAAAGTTTGTTATTGTATGGACTAATAGATTCACTCATTTAGGGAACATGGAAACGAGGAGATACATTGTTGTAACTTTGATTGGATTATAGTACTAATTATCAATTTATATCTTCTTTTTCTATTTATATTTTTTTAGGGTTGAGTTTGCTCATTGAAGACTAAAAAATATGTTAACTACTAGCCGAGAGATTTATGTAGAAGTTGGGATGATGTGAACACCGTGTTGAAATTGCAACTAAGTTCAATTAGAGTATAATTTTAAGAAAGTATTTCCAACATATAACATTTGTATAACACTCCATTTTACTCCAGATTTACACGGCTTCGTTTCACGATAATGTATGTAGCATGTTGAAAAGGATTTGGAAATGGTAAAATTTGTTGGTTCTGACAAAGATGCATGTGGTTATTTCATTAGAATAACACATGAGTTACCTTGTGTGTTTCAACTTGTTGGTCTTTAAATACAAGGTGAGCATGTTCAGTTAGAATCAATTCATGTATTTTGGAAGAAATTATACATTGAAGAGTAAGAGGTCACTCAAGAAGATAGTTGGACACAGTTGGATTTAAAAGAATAGTGTGAAGAGTTGAAGATATATTTCAGTAAATTGGATATTGCATGCTAGAGGGTGATGAAGAAAAAAGTTTGGTAATTAACACATCCATCCATAACTTTTATATGTCCACCACTAGTGAAGTATAAGCTTAAGAGGGGAATTAAAAAGAGTAAAAAGAGTAAAGAGAATGATGTGCATCGTGATCCTTTTAGTGGTAGTATCATGAGAACTCGCAGGGATGTCGAAATACAAAGAGATATTTTACGAAATCATCTGGACATCAACCATCTAGGTAGCCTTCAATACTTCTTTATTTGTCTCAGTGTCATGTTTTCTTACATCAGTACATTGATGACATTGTTGTTGTGGGAGA